GAATCTGTCTTTTGGGCAGGCTTTGTTAAGGTCGGTGAAATCAACACAAACTCTCCACTTTCCATTTTTCTTCTTTACCATCACAGTGTTTGACAGCCAGGTTAGGTATTGCACTTCTCTGACGGTTTGGGACTCAAGCAATCGTGTCATTTCCTTCTTTACTGCTTCCTGATGTTGGGGTGCCGACCTCCCGAGTCTTTGTTTTACTGGCTTGAAGCTCAAGTCAACATTCAATTAGTGACATGCCACTTTGGATGGTACGCATGGCGTTTCACTCGTGCTCCAAGCGAAGACATCGACATATTCTCTAAGTACAGTGACGAGCTCACTTTTTCGTTCAGGGCTAAGAGCTTTTTCCAACAAAAAGTACTTATTCTGGTCATCATCCTTGTTTAAAGGTACTTTAGTCAAGTCTCCGATTGTGTAGTCAGTACCTTCTTTTTATNGAGCTCACTTTTTCGTTCAGGGCTAAGAGCTTTTTCCAACAAAAAGTACTTATTCTGGTCATCGTCCTTGTTTAAAGGTACTTTAGTCAAGTCTCCGATTGTGTAGTCAGTAACTTCTTTTTCTNATGGCGTTTCACTCGTGCTCCAAGCGAAGACATCGACATATTCTCTAAGTACAGTGACGAGCTCACTTTTTCGTTCAGGGCTAAGAGCTTTTTCCAACAAAAAGTACTTATTCTGGTCATCATCCTTGTTTAAAGGTACTTTAGTCAAGTCTCCGATTGTGTAGTCAGTACCTTCTTTTTATGCGCCTAAAGGTATTTTAGGGCTTTTCATATCAGTTTGGCTGATGGAATCAACCGAGCTGTCGAGCATTGATTGCTCGGCTACTAAGTTCCTCTCTCGAGCCTCTACTCTATCTCTAGCTTTGACTGAGGCCAATAAACAAGTTCTGAAACTTATTTGGTCTCCTCTAATATTGACTATCCCTTCAATCGAAGGAAATCTCAGCATCTGGTAGTATATTGATGGTACCGCCTTCATTTCATGTAGCCAAGATCGCCCCATAATTGCATTATATGCTAAGATCGTATCGACTACCAGAAATTCGGTCATGACGCAAACTGGTCCAGTTTTCACAAGCAGCATGATCCTCCCTCTGGGAACTATTGTTTTCCACTAAAGCCAATTAATGGAGTATTAGAGGGCTTAAGATCCTCCTGCTTGAGACCGAGCTTTTTGAAGAGGTCTATGTACATAATTTCGGAGGAACTCCCCGGATCAATCAGAACCCTCTTTACATCGTAATTTGCAATTCGAAGCGTTGCAACTAACGCGTTGTTGTGCGGCTGATGAACCCCGATCAAATCTTGTTCGGTAAAGCAGATGGCCTCGTTTGACTCTTCCACCTTAATCTTTTTATTCCTAACATTTGGGGTCAATCGTAGCTGATAAACTTCTCTTTCTCTTGAAGCTTCCTGAACATATGCCCTAGCAGCATTATTCGTCGACATTTGCAGATTCGTTGCAGCATATATAACATCTATTACTCCTGTTGTCGTAGTTTGGTCTCTTTTTGGCTCTGTCCTTCCCCTGTCGGGTCTTGCACCATCCTCGATGAACTCGACGAGATGTCTAGCCTAGACCAATGCCTCCAAATGCTGCTTTAAGGATTGACAATTTTCGATCATGTGACCTACATCTCGATGATATAAGCACTTGAAATTAGGGTTCCTTTTTGAAGGATCCCCTGTTAGTTTATTGGGCCACTTGAAAAATGACTTCCCTTAAATTTGAGTCAATATGCTATATATTGGCTCTCTGAATAGTGTATTTACCCCAATAAAGGGAGATTTTTAGGAAAATCCTTCTTTCCACCTTCCCTGCTTAGTTCGATTTGCTTATCACGGCTGAACTGCCTTCTGCTTTGATGTTCCTTACCCACATCTTTGGATAAGTCATCGTCGACTTTAGCGTACTTCTCGATTCTCGCCATCAGTTCTTCCAAGTTTGTGACAGGCCTCATAGTAAGAGATTGGTATAAGGGGTTCTCCTTTGACAACCCAATCTTGAAGGATACTACTGCGATTTTAGGATTACAAGCTTCTACCTCATTCATAGTCTCCCAGTAGCGATGAGTATACTCTCACAGAGTTTCATTTATTTCACTTCTTCAATGTCAGCAGAGCCCTGACATCCTTGGGCTGTTTACTGCTCGTAATTAACCAAGTTGTAAATTGCTCGGCTAACTGTGACCATCCGTCTATCAACCCCTTCGGCAAGCTGTTGAATCATTTTCATGGTCGATTCCCTGAGGCTACTGGGGAAGATGGTGCAGAACAAGGGTTCGTTCTGCTGATGAATGGTCATCAGCAATCTGAAATGTCTGATGTGGGAGACTGGATCGGTCTTTCCATTGTAAAGCTTGAAATTCAGGATGGTGAATTTACATGGGATACACCCCCTTTCAATCCACAAAGTAAAAGGAGATGACTCTAAGCCATCACCGTATTCTCCAGTCGCCCTTCTGGCTAGGTCCCTAGCCGACCTCTACTTTGGCCTCTTCAAATAGTTGTTTAGTTCTTCGGTGATGTACTGCTTCCATGAGTTCTCCTCTTGGATCCGAGGTCTTTTCTGTTGGTACTTAACTTCATTAGCATTTTTGGTTCTATCATGTTTCCTTTTGAGACTTCCTCGCTGGTTTTCCCTTACACACTTCTCTTTCCTTGTCATCTTCTTTAGCTTGGCCTTGAGTTCCTCATCCTCTTTTATTAGATCGTTTTCCCCTGGCATAGGATTTCTTGAATAGCTTATCATGCGCATCAAGTCGGTCCTGCAAGGATTGGACCAACTTTGCCAAGGAGTGGTTCTCCCCCTCGGCATGGAAAAATTCACCACGATCTATAATTTGCTGGTTCTGATTCCTAGATGGTTTGAAACTTGTTGAGCATACCTCGTCATTCTCGTGGGGTCTAGATGGGCTTTTGTTGACATGCAATCTAATGTTGCTATCAGATGGAAGCGATACCGGATCAGAATTACCCAAGACAAAACTGCCTACAGGTGATCCAATGGCACTTCTGACTCTTGACATCATAGCTTTTTGTTTCGATTGATTAAAATCTTCACACAGATGACACCAAAAAATGTAGGAGGCAAAAAATGAAATTACCTCAATGGAATATGACTAGATAATTTGGGAAAAGAGAGTTTCTGAACTTGATCTTCTAGTCTCGTCTTCCTGCAAAACGAGCAAACTGCCCAAGATCAAAGACACTCCGATACTTAAGTCAGTAATGGATCTAATTGAATTGCATATAGACAAAAAGAGTTCATTGTATGTTTCACTTTGACTCCTTTTGCTTTTTATAGACCATGTTCAATTAGGGTTTTCATGAATTTCAATTCAAGGTGGCACACCTTCCTCCAATTAAGCGATTCAGTTTGGAAAGCTGCTGAAATCTCTCTGGCAGTTCCCTTAACCTATAGTTAAGCTTATTAGTTTATCTTGGACGCCTAAGTTTTTGGCGAATCTTTATCTTTTCATTTACTATTTCAAAACAGTTCGATNTATAATTAAGCTTATTAGCTTATCTTGGACGCCTAAGTTTTTGGCGAATCTTTATCTTTTCATTTACTATTTCAAAACAGCTCGGTCATGACGAGGACCGAGCTCTTTCGTTACTCACCGAACACCTTGAACAACACGGTTCGGTAAGGGCCAAGCTCTTTCATTGCTTGCCAAACAAATTGATCAGTTCGGCTAGGCCTGTGGCTAATGTCGTCCTCACATGTCTTCTCTTATCATCCTCACATGGGCTCATTTAATGTCATAACATGTAAAATAATGGGAGTCACTCTCTTCATGTTCTTTACATCCTTTTTTTTTTCAAAAATTGAAGAACCAAAAATTCAAACAAAAAAATACTCTTTGTTTTTAAAGTTTTAAGAATAAAAAACTGTTATAAAAAATCAAATCAAACAGACCCTCAATTTTTTGATGTTTGTGATTTTGATTCGACCCATGGTTTAATTATGGTTTTAGTTTTTAAACTTTTTAAGTTATTTGATCTTACTTGATATTTTGGTTTAACTATAATTTTGGATTTATCAGAAAAATTATGACATTGGAATAAACTTTTGGTTGCATTTGGGAGTGGATTTATGCACACACACTTGCCCAGACATCACACTAGTGTCACTATATCATATGAAGATACATACTCTTAATCATGAGTAGATTGTCTTGTGTTATATAATGTTTTCAGGCACGAAAATTAACTAGTGTATATATATATATATATATATATATATATATATATATATATATATATATTTGTTATGTCATATTGACAAAGGTGATCAACAAAACTTTGTTCTCGGCTTATGACGTTTATTGAAAGTATGCGTACAACACCCCCAATTAAAACTTTATTTTTTTTTTTATTCTCTTTCAACTTTTTTCAATTGTTTCTCATTTGTTTAAATTTTTTTTATTTATTTATTACATAATACCTATAGACACTAGTAATTACTAGTTTATAATATAAAATAAGACATATTTCAATAAATCCATCCGACGATTTCAAATAGATTTAATCAAATACTACCAATATCACTTTCAAAATTATTCACATTATAATAACCAAAATGACACCCAAAAAAAATGAAAAAAAAAAAAAGTAATGAAAGCGCAGTCGTTTCACCAGATTTCAAACTTTACCAACGCCACCGTTTCAAATGCCACGTTATTATTGCCGCCCGCGTACCTCACCAATATTTAGCGTCATACGTCCTGGGACGACGGTAAATTAGACTGAAACAAAGGGCATTATCGTAATTCGATGACTATATATAGGTTCAGGAGTTGAGGCTCTATTCCTCAGTCTGGCAAAAGGGCGAGCGACGCAGAGGAGTTTCCGTTATCCATTCCTCTTCTCTCTCTCTGTGAACATATTTATAGCTTCCTCCCTCTAAATTCTTCGGAGATTTTTTCTACCAGATCAAATCCGGGTTTTGCCAAAACTCTTCTGTGTCAATCCAATTGTTTTAGTCATGGATTCTGATTCGATTCGCAACGCTTCGATCCCTATGGTGGCTTCTAACGCCAGAGATTTCGCCAAGAAAAAGCGGGTTAGCACTCTCTCTCTCTCTCTCTATTTATTGGTATATCTNTCTCTCTCTCTCTCTCTCTCTCTCTCTCTCTCTCTCTCTCTATTTATTGGTATATCTGTGTGTGTGTATGTGTGTGGACGATTGTTTGTGTCTGTGGTTGCGTTTGTTTGTCTATTTGTATACGAATGATTTGATGCTATATAGTTTAATTATCTTTCTTTAGTTTTTTTTAGGTTTGATTTTTTGACCGAGTTGTGGGTTTTTCAGACGAATAGGTCGGCCAAATTGAAGCAATGCAAGCTTGATGCTCGTCGTGAGCAGTGGCTTTCTCAAGGTATGTTGAAGATGTGTTTTTATGAGATGTATTTATATATTTATATGCACGATCTCGTTCATGCAATTTTATGTTGCTGTAAACCTATCTGTCTGTATACATACGCATACATGCAGAGTTGTTTATAGATTTCTGTATGTGTGGGATTTTTTGGTATTATTTATGTTGGTTGATTATCTAATTTTTGGTGACTGGTTCTACACAGTGAAGAGTAAGGGAGATAACGAAAAATCGAGCGGTTGTGGAGGGAATCGTTCACTGCTGGTTCAGGTGGGAAAGGAGAGGGGCCGATCCGTGGAGAATTTGGAGATTAATCCTATAGGTGAAGAGAATTACGGGTCGATGAACCCTTACAGTGATTCAGAGTCGCCCTCGAACAGTCCCACCAGTCACACCAGTAGTGCCTCAGGAGGTAATGATTCTGGGTCCAGTTTTACTGGGAGCGGTAGGAATAGCAGCAGCAGCAGTGGAGGGTGTTGTTCAGGAAGCATAACAGAAGAAGAAGAAGGTGATGATGGGTGCTTGGATGATTGGGAGGCTGTTGCGGACGCTTTAGCCGCCACTGATGACGTGCAAAAACAGCACACTCCTAATTTTAATTCAGAGGTGCTTCCCAAGCATGAGAATGAAAATGTTACCCGATCGGATTCTCCATTGCCAAAATTTAACGACCGGCCTGCTTCACATATTGATATTTCGAAGCCAAAGCCAGATTGTGTAAGAATCATGCAGAGAGCTCCGGCAAATTGTAGGGCTTGGAGACCAGATGATGCTTTTCGTCCTCAGAGTCTGCCCAATTTATCGAAGCAGCACAGTTTCCCCTTGAATTCTGACCGGCATTATCGTCATGGAAGAAATCCATGGGGTAACAAGCTTGTGTCTGCACCATCATCATGCCCGATATGTTTTGAAGATTTGGATTTCACTGACTCAAGTTTTTTGCCTTGTTCATGCGGGTTCAGGCTTTGCCTTTTCTGCCACAAGAGGATTCTCGAGCAGGATGCACGATGTCCAGGTTGTAGGAAGCAGTATAAATGTGATTCTTTAGAGGGAGAAGCATCCTTGGATGGAGGCAGCCTGACAATTCGGTTAGCTCGTTCTTGCAGCATGATCACGAGGTCTTAGGAAGAGTATCTGTGTTCCTTGAATATATTTGTTGGGTCGCTTATTTTGGTTCTTGCGTGTTTGCTTACCACTAGTCTCCAATTTTCGTAGTAATAAATTTCATGTAGGTATTGTCATTTTGAAGCATAGACTGCCAAGTGTTATTAGGCTGGTTCTCTTATGACTTTGCTTTGGTCCATCTATGTACAGTGCATGTGCTGAGATAGAGGACTTGTTGCTTTGTGAATAGATAAAGTGCTGTAGAAAGTGAATACATCAAATTCATTGCAATATGATTTTCTCCTCCTGTGGTGTTGATTGTGCACTTCACTTTTGAACTATATGAATATATAGGGACGAACAAAAGATATATCTTGTTTTTTGATGTCCCAGATGTCTGTTGTTATATAAATTGCTTTTGCTGATTACATTTGCGCAACTGGCGATTCAACTCTGGAAGCACTTGCGATGTTTGGAGGGCTATTCTTGTTAAGATATGAGGTTGACTTGAGCATGCCATTTTTTATATGAACTTGTGCATCTCATTGCTTAAGTCTATATAAGTAAAATAATTAAGACCATAAAAGACACCGTTTCTATATCACAGATGTTGTATGGTGTATAAAATTTATTAGCTGATAGGTAGAGCCATAGGTGATTCAGCTCTGGATGCTTGTTCATACTTTCAAATAGGGTATTCTCACTATGATTAGTTTGTTCTTGAATTAAAATGGAGCAGTATAAATTTTGAGGTCTAAAACTTGAACTACTTTGCAAGTTTTTTGGTAGCTATGGTTTGCTAAGGGAGCCCTTGAGTCTTAAAATTTTGTGAAGTTACTCCAGGCCAAAAAATTGATGAGGTAGCTCTTGAGGCCTTAGTTTTGATATTGAGGTTCTTTTTTGTTTCACAAGGTTCTAGTTTGTTTCACACTGAGTTTTTATCTTTTGTAGTTCTCGTCATCGCTTGTCCTTTCTTGGTGCCGACAACCATCAAACTGCTTTGATGGGTGGCACTTGAGACTAAAATTCTCCTTAATTTCTAATTTCTTCTATAACACTGTAGAAAAAAAAAAGCCTTTGCGTCTGGTAGCTCATATTAAACAATCTTTTTCTGTAACTGATAAGTAATGTGGTTTCTTATGTTATACAATTCTGATTTCTCATGTTGTGATGAGAACATATTTTGTCTCCATCTGTCTGGGTCATGCTCTCAAACTTGCCTTGTTTTTTGCTTGTGGTTCATCATTTGCATGATCCTTGGGAATCATATTTGGCTCTCCTAGGTGGAAATGACTGAAAGATGAAAACAATTGGAAATCAAAATGATCTCTCCACCATCTTGATCCACTTTAGCCCTCTGTAGTTGTATGAGAAAAAGGTCACTCCATCATGAAAAAGGTCATTATCGGTATCTGTATTCCATTGTCGCACCTGCCTTAATAAGAAGATTTGTTGTTTGGCAGATTGGTTGAATTTTAGAGGAGAAAGAAATGACGCGAACAGTTTTGCAATTGAACAGGATGTGTTTGAAAGTAAGGTCAGATATTTCATTTGAAAATCTTTTGGAGATGTTTTGGAAAGAAGAAAGATGGAAACAGGAGCACAAATCAGGCGGTGATGGTAAGAATGCAAGATTCTCCATCATGTTGCGGGTGCCTATATGATTGCAGCAAATTTTGGCCAGCTAATGCCTTTTTTTTCCCCTAGCATATGCAAGATGTTCCATACACTATAGAGAGATCTTTTGTGTTTTTATGAACTCTTTAATGCTTTGGCGAAAGGAAGAATTTCATTGGAACGCAAAACAAGTACAACTAGAGTTATGAATAAAGTACAACAAAGCAGTGAAGCAAGTAACAAACTAGCTGAAAGAGAGACACAAACAAAGCTACAAAACCGAACATTGGAACATTTTTGTTGTGTTTACATGAACAGATGCAGGTTGTGAAGACAGAGTCAAGCCTTTGAGCTTAGCTGTGGAGCTAATCTGAGTTATTCTCAAGAAGGTCACCAAGTAAGAAAAAGACCTTCCCTAACCGCTCATGTACTCTGAAATGCAGGATGCTGCTCTATGTTGAGGAGGAAGCATTTTCCACCACTTGACAAAGGTTGATTCATCCAAGAAAATGTCGTTGCGTAGCTCCCCATCACGAACCCAATTGAGTACTTGTTTCTCTAAGGTCAGAATTCTCCCCTTCACATCATCAAATGCCTTTGTTCTTAATTCCTCCACCTCAGCCAAGAAACATGACTCCGAGCTCGATCCAACTGGCATTCTCTCAGCGTGCTCTCGCCATCTTTGTGTGTATCTGTAAAGTTTTGGCCTACCCTTAATCAAGTAAGGTCCAGTGTCATCACCCTTAAAGTGTCTGTAGTAGTTGGCAATGTCTAGAGGCTCAACCACTCGCCTATACCTGGTTCCTAGCTCTATCCACTCTTTCTGGCCCTCAAAGTCATCTGGAAGTTCATACTTTTTTAACATTTCAATGATGGGATCCCACGCGTCTGTCAGCTCGACCCTCGTCACATTGGCATAGAAGTCGCTGTCATATTTGTGAATCTTGAAGGCATCATAAGAACCCACGTTGCGTGCTACACACTCGGCTTGGTAAACTTGAATCTTTGTTAGTCCTTTTTCAATGATGACCTTAAGTGAATTTGTCTTTTCCTGGTTTTGCAACTTTTTCTTCTCCGTCTCTCCAGCAGCTTGAAGACACAATCTAGCTCCTGTGTTCTGGTATTTCAAGCTCACAAAATTAGGAAGGGTTGTAATCATAATTTTTTTTTTTTTGAATTTTATCAGATGAAATTTCGTAGTTTGTTAAATATATCAATTATCAAACTTCAAACTGATGAATCTTAAAGCCTCTTCTTATTTGCAATGTTTTAGATTTCTACAGATTCAGACATAGCAAAGCTTTTGAACTGAAATTGAGAAGTTGACATAGAGAGGAGAGACTCACCAGGCCAAGGTCATTGAGGACTGCGTCTGTTGTTGCCATATCGTCTGAATAATCTAGATAAACCACATCTTGCATGTTTAAGCTTTCTTTCACTTCATCTTCATAAATCAGATGTTCTCTGAAGCTTTTATAAATAACTCCTGCTGCTTCTGCTTCAGAGCTTGGCTGAGCACTGTAGAACAGCAACTGAAGGATAGCGTCCGGATTCCTCAAAACAACCAGTTTTCCATTTCCAGTGCAGAAGATATAGGTACCAAAAGGTCTATAAGGGCTAACGTCAATGGAGCTAGAGACGGTTTCCAACAGCAAATTTGTGTATCCCATAAGATTACAAGCAGCATGGCTAGCAACTAATGACGCATTCATCATGACAGTCTTAAAAAAAGTTGAAGCTATACTGGATATGCCACTGAATTCTTGCTCAAACGATGAGGATTTCGGTTTGAAGAGATCAAGAATTGGTAGGAGTTCTTGTTCAATGGATGAGACGGGACCGAGCATTATACGGGGGACAATATCATATCTCAGCACAAAATGGAGGAAGTGAGGAGCCCATTTCTCTCTCCCGAGACCATGTTGGAAAATCCGATCACCGACAAGTGGGGACCCAAATGTCACACATTTCGGAGGAATTGTAGTGGTGTGTGATCTTATGTATTTCTCTAAGAACCAAACGGCTGCAAGGATGGCTATTGCACCGCCTGAGGAGTGCCCTGCAAACACAATCTGTCTTCTCTCTGAAACTGCTTTATATACCTAAGATCCAAATTGGACATGCACATGTTAATTTTCTAACTTTGTGATTAGTAGATAATAAGGAATACTATTCAGTCTTTGCATTTCTGATGTTTTAACTTTTACTTATCATTCCTCTCGAATCTAATTGCTTCCCCTCGAAATTTGTTGGCCTTGAATATAGAGAGATATTCATGATTGGGGGTTTAGGAGGTCAGATTCTTTTTACTGTCGATTTCTTTTTTCTGAGAAGTTTTACCTTCATTTGCTAATCGATTATACAGGTAGCTTTTCAGCCAAATTTGTGAAGGGCATCTGCATCTAAGTGCACGAGTTTTCCGCTACTTCTGGGTTTGATAAAGGTAAAGATACATATAATTTTCCCTCGGTATATTGTTGTATATATTACGTTTGGCTTACTGGCTATACTGATCAATGAACAGAACTTCGTTCATTTCAGCATCAGGGAAAAGGAACTAACATGGTTATTTTGGAGATTATTGAGAATATAAGGTGAAGCAAATTTATGATTTCTGCAGTGAGTTGACTTTATTATGTTGTACAAGGAAACTAGAACTCTGACAAGTACTAATAATGGTTGAATTGTAATGGGTACCTCAACTTCCAGCGATGATTTTGCTTTAATTTCTTCGAATCTATTATAAAATGCCTCATTCACCGTCGCGATTTCATCGTTGCCAATGCTTCTGAGAGATGGAGAAAATTCCCGGTTGACTTTCATGTCTCTAAAAGGCTTTCGACTGAACCAATCATCCATAGACCACGATCCAGCAAAGCCAAAGATGGTCACAGACGGGCTGTGACTCTTCTCGGAGAGATAAGGCTTCCCAGTAGATTTGTGAGCTTTCATGGCTAGACAACAAGCTTTCTGTATGAGCTCTTCACTCATTCCTACATTGTTTTCAAACCTCTCTCCCTCCATCTTGCCTTTTGGCACTAGCAGTTGCTGTTAGGCTTCTTTTCTTGCTCTCTGTTCTTCGGTTCTGTTGGAATTTAAGGGGAGATTGTTGCTGTTTAAATTACTGGCATTGCCCTTGCTGAGGTTAGGTTATAACTTACAATCATAAAAAAGTTTGAATCGTGGAGGTCTTTTTTGTCTTTTGGAACTCGTTGACTTGGGCTTGGAAAGTCTCTGGGGTGGATGAAATATCCTACGAAATTGCTTCTACCTGCAATGTTTGTCTCAATTAAACGATATTTACAAATTAGATCAAGATATTAAATTGAATTAGCATTATTATTCGGGGTCGTACAAATAAAGCTTATGCCCTTTATTATTATGATTATAGAGTTGACCATAAGCCATTGAACTGGTTAGGGTTTTTTTTTTTTTTGGTTTTTTCAACACAGAAAGTTTAAGAATTTGCTAAGAAATGCATAGCAGGCATCTATAATGTCTCTTTTCTTTTGGTTCAATGATCAGGAAATTTTTGGGTCAGTTTATGTGTAATTTAATTAATTTTTTATTTATTTATTTAAAAACATATTATTTAAATCAGGATTAAGGTATTTGTGAAAAATAATTCTTTCATAGTCTGAGAGTTTGACATACAAGTTTATGCCAAATTGGTCTATCATATACACTAAGGTTTTGATATCTCGCATTACGGGTTCTAACTATGACATTCACAAATTATTGTTCAGTATTATATCTTTATTTTTTGTCCAATAAAAGCATCGTGTAATTTTATTTTATCTTTTTAATATTTTTATAATTAATAATTGCAAATACTTCAAATTAAAATTATCTTTTTCATGATAATAATAATTTTTTATGGTAAACGGTGATATCATATAATTACTATCATAGTGTCACCATCAAATAAGAACACAATTAAATGGGTAAAGTGAATCCTATTATTTTACATGAATATTAAATTATATAAATTAATTATTTTTTTTATAACCCTACGTGATAGCGACAAAACCTCTATTAATAAGGGTGATAATTTCNTTGCTAATCGATTATACAGGTAGCTTTTCAGCCAAATTTGTGAAGGGCATCTGCATCTAAGTGCACGAGTTTTCCGCTACTTCTGGGTTTGATAAAGGTAAAGATACATATAATTTTCCCTCGGTATATTGTTGTATATATTACGTTTGGCTTACTGGCTATACTGATCAATGAACAGAACTTCGTTCATTTCAGCATCAGGGAAAAGGAACTAACATGGTTATTTTGGAGATTATTGAGAATATAAGGTGAAGCAAATTTATGATTTCTGCAGTGAGTTGACTTTATTATGTTGTACAAGGAAACTAGAACTCTGACAAGTACTAATAATGGTTGAATTGTAATGGGTACCTCAACTTCCAGCGATGATTTTGCTTTAATTTCTTCGAATCTATTATAAAATGCCTCATTCACCGTCGCGATTTCATCGTTGCCAATGCTTCTGAGAGATGGAGAAAATTCCCGGTTGACTTTCATGTCTCTAAAAGGCTTTCGACTGAACCAATCATCCATAGACCACGATCCAGCAAAGCCAAAGATGGTCACAGACGGGCTGTGACTCTTCTCGGAGAGATAAGGCTTCCCAGTAGATTTGTGAGCTTTCATGGCTAGACAACAAGCTTTCTGTATGAGCTCTTCACTCATTCCTACATTGTTTTCAAACCTCTCTCCCTCCATCTTGCCTTTTGGCACTAGCAGTTGCTGTTAGGCTTCTTTTCTTGCTCTCTGTTCTTCGGTTCTGTTGGAATTTAAGGGGAGATTGTTGCTGTTTAAATTACTGGCATTGCCCTTGCTGAGGTTAGGTTATAACTTACAATCATAAAAAAGTTTGAATCGTGGAGGCCTTTTTTGTCTTTTGGAACTCGTTGACTTGGGCTTGGAAAGTCTCTGGGGTGGATGAAATATCCTACGAAATTGCTTCTACCTGCGATGCTTGTCTCAATTAAACGATATTTACAAATTAGATCAAGATATTAAATTGAATTAACATTATTATTCGGGGTCGTACAAATAAAGCTTATGCCCTTTATTATTATGATTATAGAGTGACCATAAGCCATTGAACTGGTTAGGGTTTTTTTTTTTTTTGGTTTTTTCAACACAGAAAGTTTAAGAATTTGCTAAGAAATGCATAGCAGGCATCTATAATGTCTCTTTTCTTTTGGTTCAATGATGAGGAAATTTTTGGGTCAATTTATGTGCAATTTGATTAATTTTTTTTTCGATTTACTTAAAAACATATTATTTAAATTGGGACTAAAGTATTTGTGAGAAATAATTCTTTCATAGTCTGACGCTAAAGAGTTTGACATACAAGTTTATGCCAAATTGGTCTATCACATACACTAAGGTTTGGATATCTCGCATTACGGGTTCTAACTATGACATTCACAAATTATTGTTCAGTACTATATCTTTATTTTTTGTCCAATAAAAGCATCGTGTAATTTTATTTTATCTTTTTAATATTTTTATAATTAATAATTGCAAATACTTCAAATTAAAATTATCTTTTTCATGATAATAATAATTTTTTATGGTAAACGGTGATATCATATAATTACTATCATAGTGTCACCATCAAATAAGAACACAATTAAATGGGTAAAGTGAATCCTATTATTTTACATGAATATTAAATTATATAAATTAATTATTTTTTTTATAACCCTACGTGATAGCGACAAAACCTCTATTAATAAGGGTGATAATTTCTGACTTAACACGATAACACGAATTTAAAGAGTTGCAATCGATTATAATTTAACACAAACTCGAACATGAATATGACCTGATACGCAAATATGAAATACGAACAAATCGTATTCGAATTGAATCCGCTTAACTCGGAATTGACATAATATATCCGTTTATTTATTCGTGCCACGAATCAATAATTTTTTTTATTTAAATTGACGTATTTAATCTGTTTCCACTTTCCACGGTGTATAAAAAAGAAAAATATAACACCGAATAAGACGGGCAATGTTATTAAAAAAAAAAAAAAGGGGCCGGCGATGTCCTTACTTTATCTGACTACACGTCTACACCCACGTGGTGGTCAGTGACTTGACCATCAACAGCCCCTCACTTTCCCAGCTTTTCAAATTTTAGCCCCCAACCTTTCACTTTTTCCTTCGGGAAAGTAGTCATACATTCCCATTCCCGTCCGTCTGGCGTCGCTTACCTCACGTGTAATCGGGTTGAATTTTATAAATTTGAGTTTGAATTTGACAAATTTATTTTTTTAAATGAGTGTAAAAAATTATTTAAATTTGATTTATTTGAAACTTAAACCGAATTCTAGTAATTCAACTGTTTTATATATGAACGGACTTAGCCTTTTATATAGAGCACAAATCGAGCTCGAGTCAAGTGTTTTTCTGAGTCCAACTCGAATAGTTCATGTCAATTAACATCCATACTTCTCGGCCATACCTCCCTTGTCATCTTAGGGGCGGCCCAACATATGTGGGGTTCTGGACAAAAATGTTAAAACAAAACTTCAAAGTAATCACGGGTTTATCAATATGAAAAGAATAAATCTAACACATAATCTAATAATTAAATTAAATAACAAATAAATTTATGAAACAGTTACAATACAATAAATTAATTTTCATAGAGTAATTAAATTATACAGTATAAATTTCACTGAGGCTCCCTTGAGATTACCTTAATTTCAGGAACACTTCTTATAATTTCTATCATGCCACTGTACACCTTACAGACATGTAACAGAAAATGTGATGTCATTGGTTCTCTTATAGTGATATACCATATTTACAATCACGTTGACAGAGATTTCTGATTCATCTTTACCTCTTATTTATTGCGCAAAATTTACTCCTCTTTAGCAGCAGTACTTGGACATTTAATTTTATCAATTTAACACCAAATATTAATCAATTGACATTTAATTTCATTAATTTAAATATTAATTTCATCACACTAACACTAATTTTATTTAATTTAATACCAAATTAATATTTAATTTTATCAAATTCATATTATATTTCATCAAATTGACGTTTTAAATTTAATTCTATCAAATTAACATTGAATTTATTTAATTTGAATTTAGATTCATCAAATTGAACTTTAATTACACCAAATTGACATTTAATTTCATTAATTCAATATATAATAATATTACTTGTAATTTAAGAAGTTGCTAAGAAATGCATAGCAGGCATCTCTGTATCTTACAAAGGCAAATATTGTGGCATATCCCCCTCTTTTATCAGACATAATGCTTGGAAAATGTTAAGTATCTCTCATTTGGGATTTACAACCAATTCGATGATTGTATACTTGAGCTAAATAATATTATTGCTCACTCATACAAATTTATGCCAACTTGGTCTATCACACAAAAAACCAGTCCATGGTTACAATAGTATTAGTGTGATGAAATTGATTCTGTCTCTCCAACTATCATCTCAGACTCCTTTGATAGAGTCTATTAGAGATTTTGAGTCAGATTCTACTATGGCATCCAAGAATCCCTCTTCTATGGCCAATCTTCAAGCCCCTCTAACTGTTGTTGCTTCTGTAATCAAAGGCAAATGTCGCTGCCACATTTTCTTGTTTCCCCATGTATGAGATTTCCTTCATGATTGTGAACTGCCACTCCATAAGCTCCTCTATTCCGTTTTCCCATATATGCACCATCACAATTCAGCCTCATGCAGCCAAGTGTTAGGAGATGTCACAGAGGTGCTGTAGTCTCTGAACTCTTTTCCATATCTGTTATGCTCCCTTGAAAATAGCCTTCATCTACTGCCAACAAGGCTTGGTTGACTGCAATTCTTGCCTGTGGTTTTCGATGGTTATTGATGGGACACTTCTAGGAGGTTATTGTATTGACGATGCGTGTTCTAGGCACATAAGCACATATTTGTCTCTGACGAATCCACGTATCCTCGGCATTGAGGTACCTCTTTGCGCTGCCGAAGTCACGTGCCCTCAGCACCTAGACCCCTCCTGCTCTAGACATGTTCCTCAACGCCTAGGCATTTGCCCTCCCTCCGGGGGGATATAGGTGTCCTCGGCCCCGAGGGTACTTTCACAGCGCCTACCCCAAGTCTTCAACTTCTAGAGAAGGTTTTGATTGATAGCTGAACAATTTAAACTAGACTAGGAGTTAGGAGGGCACTCTGCACAATGGAGTCAGAATGACAGTGTGGACTAGACACTCCACTATCGAGAACCAGACGCGTGGCGTAAGGTACAAGACGAAGGGTAAGAAGATCGATCTACCCCTGCTAATAAGCGGCTGTTCCAGACAAATATTTAATGAATACCCAAATGATGTGACATTCATAATGACTTTAGAAGTCGAGGATGGGGGGTATTAAATGTCCTAGGCCCCTGCATTTAAAGTCTTTACATCGAAGAAAAAACATTAATTACTCGGAAGCCCGAGCAATCAATACTGGGGCATTCCCCCACGCAAAATAGGGGGTACACTGCCCCGTTCCTGGACACTACCTATTAACTAGACTGTCAGCAATGATTAGTCTTTGAAGGTATAAATAACCCTCATAAACACATTACAAAGATACGCAAAATCATCTCATAAGAGTCATACACAGTGTTTTCCTCTTCCCTTCTTTTAAAGAACTGACTTGATCGTCGGAGGGGATATGTTGGAGAACACTCCAACGCCCTTCTAACTTGCTTGTTGTATTCCAGGAATCTCCTGCAGTCCATTGGAACCGGTCAGGCATCTCTTGAGATAATTCATCACCACTCCTTAGACCCCCTTTGGCCCTCTCAACTTATTCCTTATTATCGGATCAACTACCTCAATGGACCTGAGTTCAACACGTGGGAGATTTGTTCCCATTTTAACTATTGTACGAAAATCATCCCACACAATTATATATCCAGTCATTGCGTGCTTTCCATGTCAACCAACATAGGTATGCCAACAATGTTTGATCACCTTTTGTTACTCCTCCACCCTTCAACAATTGTAATTACTCCATCAATCAGTCTTCAGTTCTCCTGATTTCATACCTATCTATATTTTAATAGTCAAAGGGGAGATCTGCTAGACTTTAGTAGTCCAAGGGTAGAGTAGCAACAAGTGTTCCATGGTTTCATCCTCTTCCCCACAAATTGGGCATGTTGGAGCTTTGGCTATCTTCCTCTTTCACAAATTCCCCTAAATTGGCAATGCCCCATTAATGACTTTTCCATAAGAAAGATTTGACTTTTGGCACTTTAATATTAGAGATCAGCTTCCAAAGAGCATCTGGCACTTGATAAGAAGAGGAAGTTGATGCGCTTGTCTTGGTATGACCTTCATGCTGAATTTGGAAATGGTAGTCATTTTTGACAAAGTAATTTCCATTTTTTGGTATATGGCCATCTAATTCTACCATCTTGTTGAGTCTCACTCAGTGGCAATCCTATGATGTCTCTTTCAATCTCTGATGGGAAAGTGGAGGCCACCTGTTCATTGTTCCGTGTGACAATCCGTATTAAAAAATTAATCGCTAACATGTAATTTAAGTAGTTAATTATGATCTTATATGGTTAATGATCATTTTTAGAAATTTCAAAAGAACAAATGAACTTCAAATATAATTTTTTTTATGTGCAAATAAGTCAAATAAGTATAATATAGGTCATATTTCGTATTAAAAATAAAATGTGTAATACATTACATATAAAATATATGTGAATAAATATATAAATCACAATAGACAT